TCCATCCTACACTAGACAAGCGATTGGGGATCGAAACCTACTTGAAACTGGAACTAAAGGGTATTCTTTGGTGTGTTTTAGGAGCTTTGGCTGGGTCCCCTTCTCCTTTTTTTAAAAAAAGTTAGCCTTTTTTTTTTTTATACTGTAACAATAACGAAATGAGGTTGAAGTAGGAAGTGTGGCGTGTAACAGACTGTAATGATAACAAAGTGACCTTGGTGAAATGGCGAAGATGACACAATTGTGACATTGAATTCAAACACACCAATCCATTGAATATTTTATTGGGTTAGTTTCAAATAAAACAAGATTTTCTATAAGGACGTTGGAATCGTACGGAGGTATATAGTTTACATGCACTTAAATCCGATGTGTATAAGAGGGATATGCATTGGTGACCAGAAACAAACAGAGATGCTGTCACAACCGAGTATCAGGAGAAGTTAGCTTATATGGTTACCTTCTAAATGGTTCATTGCCCAAGTTGTTTGCCTCTGTACAATAAAGGTTTAAAAATTGACATAAGCATTTTTGAATAAAAAGTTGAAGATCCCAATCTTTTTTTCCGGTTATAATATATTACTAAACGAGTACTCAAAATAAATGTATGGCATATTTATATGGAAGGTGTAAGAAAAAATGCAAGGTTGTATATATATATAAAATCCTCTAAGCATAATTGTGTATATCACCTGTTCATAAAAGAAAAAAAATATATAGTTGAGGAGATAGTTTCCTAAGGATGATCTTTGTAAAAATACAATTTCCCCGTTTGCTGAAACATTTATAAAAAAATTATAATGATTATTCGTAGGTTTTTTTCCCTTTTCCACTGTTAAATATGTATGTTTTCCCTTTTTAACTCTAGCTAACACGTTATCCCGACGCAGCAAAGTAGATTGTGCTCAACGGAGGTGATGCAGTTTGAGCTTCAATATATATATTATCTGTGAGAAATAGTGATATTTTGGAATGATCTAAAATACTCCATGACCCACAGGTTCGGCAGTCTGGATATGATATTTCTTCTTTTTAATATTGTTCATAGTTTCTTGCTCATGCTTCAGGTGAGCCATTTTATTATTTAGTCGCGCCCTCTTCATTTTCTCAATATTTTTAAGGTAATGCATTTCCATCATCATTTCCATTGATTCTCTTTGGCGTTGAACATTTTGCGCTGCCCTTTTTTCATGCTGAATTATCTTATTCAAGTTTTGAAGTTCTTTCTCAATTTCATGTGAGGTGTTATAGGATTGAGTTTTCCAAGTGGTTCGGTCTTGGTATGTGCTCCTTTCTAAGGAATGCGGTGATTGGCGTTGTGAAAGGAGATTTGATATCGGCGAATAGCGCTTTGTAGAAGAATGTTTAATACCGTTCAAAGGATTATCCACGTTGAAGGTTGAAGATTGGTTGTCAGGGAATATACTGAGATCCTTTTCCGTGTGGACATGGGATTCACTTTGGTTTTGGGCCAATGTATTAGCATCCAGCGCTCTCGCGGAGTTACCGGATGATAAATTTGAGTGACTTTTTTCTCGAGTCATCGAATTCGCTACCGGGGCCTCTTGTTTGAGGGCTTTTTTATCGCGAGGGTCTCCCGGAGTATTTTCCATTGAGGGTTGAGAAAGTTTAGTCATTTCCTGTCTTTCCGGTAGAACGACCGCCATGTGCGCTTGTCGACGTTTTTCGTAGGATTGATAGCGTGTATGGGCCAGTTCATCGGGGACCCCTGGCTCCACAAAGGTGGATAATTTTCTGGGAATGAGCTCAATTGGGTTGAATTTGTGTTTTTGGCAGATGGCCACACTGCGGGGCGTGTTCACACCCTCTGGGATTGCCGATACCGTCTCTACATTAAGAATGCTCACCCTAACTGTGGGTTTTCGTTTTCTTTTTAATGGAGTCGGGGTGAGTGAAATACCACCCGGGGTGGTTTTCTCTTTGGTGTTGAATTTTCCTTCAATATTATTCGCCGCGCTGTTGAAGGGAAGCACAATTTTTTCCTCCACAAAAACAGGGGTGGGGTCTCCGACGGTGTTGACTGATTCTATGAATTTGTCCAGTTCAATATCGGGATTGCTTGTAGGGCCATTGATATTGGGATTCGGTGAACTAAGGGCATCAGTGTCGTGCATGACTCTTCTGGATAGGGATTCACGATGCAGGACGCAATCTCACCGATATTCTTCCCTTTTTACACAACACAGAAAAATATGAGATTTTTATATTAGAATACGCTTGATGGTCTTGATAAATATCTTTCCAGAGGCACAGTTTAGTGTATTTAGAATCACATTCATATATATAATATAGGTAACCACAAACCCAAAAGCAAACATGGTGTTTATATTATATTTGTTTTTTTGTTGGCAAGTCATTTTTACTTTGCACTAATAAGACAAGAATGAAGGGTAGTATTCTTTCTACCACCAAATCACAGAAGCAAGCCGCTTTGCATAGCAATATCAAAAATATCTACCACAGGGGTATTCCCTTTTCAGAAGTGAAACCCCTCCATACTAAAGGTGCCCTAGAGTTCATCCTCCCAAGTGCGCTTTTAAACCCGACATGAACTCATCGAACTTCGTGAATTAATGCCAATTTTGCAGTCCTTTTAAGGAACGGCACCCTCACCTAAAAACGACCATACATTTCTCCTCCATTGAAGAATAAAAAGAAATGCAGAAACCACCACTCGCGTTGATGAGTTCGGATCAATCCCACCCGATAAACCTTCTCAAATTGGCCAAACTCCATCATTGACTTTATCAATTTATCCCTTTTATAGTGAGGTTGAACTCCCCTTTTCCAGCGAGCGCTGAAGAAAGACTTTACAAAACCACACACACACAATGGATGGCGCTTTGCCCAAAACAAAATCTCATCACTAAATTAATCTCAATGTGAATAAATC